ATTTTGTAAATGACATCGCCGAAGTCAAGGATCGGTAGGATAGTCAGTTTTACGAGGGCATGTTTGGCAGCATGAGTGAAGGAGGCTTTGTTGCGAAATAGGAAGCCGATTCTAGATCTAACTTTTGATTGGAGATGCTTAATGTGAGTCTGGAAGGAGAGTTTACAGTCTAACCAGACACCTAGGTATTTGTAGTTGTCCACATACTCTAGGTCAGACCCGCCGAGAGTAGTGATTCTAGTCGGGTGGGCGGGTGCAAGCAGCATTCGGTTGAAGAGCATGCATTTAGTTTTACTTGTGTTTAAGAGCAGTTGGAGGCTACGGAAGGAGTGTTGTATGGCGTTGAAGCTCATTTGGAGGTTTGTTAACACAGTGTCCAATGAAGGGCCAGATGTATACAAAATGGGGTCGTCCGCATAGAGGTGGATCCGAGCGCCACCAGCAGCAAGAGCGACATCATTTATATACACAGAGAATAGAGTCGGCCCGAGAATTGAACCCTGTGGCACCCCCATAGACTGCCAGAGGTCCAGACAACAGGCCCTCCGATTTGACACATTGAACTCTATCTGAGAAGTAGTTGGTGAACCAGGCGAGGCAGTCATTTGAGAAACCAAGGCTATTTAGTCTGCCAATAAGAATGCGGTGGTTGACAGAGTCGAAAGCGTTGGCCAGGTCGATGAAGACGGCTGCGCAGTACTGTCTTTTATCGATCGCTGTTATAATATTGTTTAGGACCTTGAGCGTGGCTGAGGTGTACCCATGACCAGCTCGGAAACCGGATTGCATAGCGGAGAAGGTACGGTGGGATTCGAAATGGTCGGTGATCTGTTTGTTAACTTGGCTTTCAAATACTTTTGAAAGTAATGGGTGTCAGTACGAACTCTGAGGATAGATGGGGGGCAATCAGTTCAGGGCTGAAGGGGGTCTGTAGCAAGCGGCAACAGTGAGAGACTTATTTCTGGAAAGGTGGATTTTTAGAAGTAGAAGCTCAAACTGTTTGGGCACAGACCTGGATAGTATGATAGAGCTCTGCAGGCTATCTCTACAGTAGATTGCAACCCCACCCCCTTTGGCAGTTCTATCGAGACGGAAAATGTTGTAGTTGGGGATGGACATTTCTGAATTTTTGGTGGCCTTCCTAAGCCATCAAAGTGTTATGATTTTTGAATGACTACCTCATCTCTGTACCCCACACATACAGTACGATTATCTGTAAGGTCCCAACGTCGAGCAGTGAATTTCAAACACAGATTCAACCACAGACTAGGGAGGTTTAACAATGCTTCGCAAAGAAGGGCACCTATTGGTAGATTGGTAAAAATAACAAAAGCAGACATTGAATATCCCTTTGAGCATGATGAAGTTATTCATTACACTTTGGATGGTGTATCAATACACCCAGTTACTACAAAGATACAGGCGTCCTTCCAAACTCAGTTGCAGGAGAGGAAGGAAACCACTCAGGGATTTCACAATGAGGCCAATGGTGACTTTAAAACAGTTACGGAGTTTAATGGCTCTGATAGTAGAAAACTGAGGATGGATTGTGGAACAACATTGTAGTTACTCCACAATACTAACCCAATTGACAGAGTGAAAGTAAGGAAGCCTAAACAGAATACAAATATTTCAAAACATGCTTCCTGTTTGCAACATGGAACTGAAGTAATACTGCAACAAATGTAGCAAAGCAATTATCTTTTTGTCCTGATTACAAAGTGTTATGTTTGGGGCAAATCCAATACAACACATTACTGAGTACCACTTTCCATATGTTCATGCATAGTGGTGGCTGCATGTATCATGTTATGGGTATGCTTGTAATCATTAAGGACTGAGGAGATTTTTCAGGATCAAAAAGAAACGGAATGCACAGACAGAATTCTAGAGGGAAACCTGGTTCAGGCTGCTTTCCACTAGACACTGTGAGATGAAGTCACCTTTCAGCAGGACAATAACCTAAAACACAAAGGCCAAATCTACACTGGAGTTGCTTAAAAATTAGATAGGGAATGTTCCAGAGTGTCCGAGTTAAAGTTTTGACTTAAATCTACTTGAAAACCAATGACAAGACCTTAAAATGGTTGTCTAGTTATCAATGATCAACAATTAATTTCACAGAGCTTGAAGAATTCTAAATAATTATAAATGTTGCTCAATCTTCAAACTATTGACTCGGGTGTGAATACTTATGTAAATTAGATATTTCTGTATTTCATTTTCAATGAATTTGACAACATTTCTAAAAACACACTTTGTCATTATGGGGATTGTGTGTAGATGGGTGAGAGGAAAAACTAATATTTAATCTATTTTGAATTCAGGCTGTAACACAACAACATGTGGAATAAGTCCAGGGGTATGAATACTTTCTGAAGGCACTGTATGTAAGGATGCAAATTTCGGTCAATTTTCCTGTCGACTAACCAACCCTCATTAACCGGTCAACCAACGGTTACATTTTTTCCAAACAGTAAAATGACATAACCAGCAGAAAATACTAGGCCTATGCATGCATACAAGGAACTGACATTTTTCATTAAGAGCTAAATGGTAACATGTAACAATAAATAGCAAGCCTATCGTCTTATAGCCTATTACTGAACATGCAACAACTGGAATGAAGCAGCTAATAAAATGTCATTTTCAAATATTTGCCAAAAATGCAATTAGCGGGAAAACACAGTTCTAAACAGCGCACCTAATGCAAGTGGTTTCATATATGACAGGAGATGAACGTCTCTGTTAGAAACTTAGAAACAGGGGTAATCTAATAGCAACAAATAAGACGAGTTGCTAAAATGACTGTATTGTTCCTTTTGCTTCTGGACGACAAAAGAAAGTTGATATGAAGGCCAATAGAAAGGAGATAAATTCGGGTTAATGGCATGAGGAAGTCTTTATAAAATAATTGCCTCCACGTTTCTATGGGGTTGTATTTTGGCTAGGCTACTTTAAAGCAAGGTAAGACATGCTTCATTGTTTAAAGTAAAGTAGAATGTTCAGGTTTCAAGCAAGCTCACATTACATTTTTGCATTGTAGTCATTTAGCAGACGCTCTTATCCAGAGCGACTTAAAGTGGTGGGTGACGCGCTGATAGCCTACAGTTGACTGTAGCTACATAACTATATTTATATACGGAAAATAGGTCAACGGAACGCAGACCGTGGGGGATAGAAGAAGGACACCGGATTGGCACACATTCAACCAATCTGATCTAACAAAGAAGATATTCGTCAAATTGCTCATGATTTATGTATTATAACAGGCCCACAATGTGGTTACTAACGTCAGATCTTGATATATTTGGCTGTTTTCGCTGCATAACATTTAGAAGTTGTTCCTTTTCAGGTTTAGAAGAAGTGACGGCAAATGCTAACTCCTGTTCGTGTAAGCTGGTAGCATAGCTAGCATACAGTGCATTCGGAAAGTATTCAGACCTCTTGACTCTTTCCACATTTTGTTACGTTACAGCCTTATTCTAAAATTGATTAAATTGTTTTTTACCCTCATCAATCTACACACAATACCCCATAATGACAAAGCAAAAACAGATTTTCTGAAATTTTTGCAAATGTATTAGAAATAAAAAAACGGAAATATAATATTTACGTAAGTATTCAGACCCTTTACTCAGTACTTTGTTGAAGCACCTTTGGCAGCGATTTTAGCCCTGAGTCTTCTTGGGTATGACACTACAAGCTTGGCACACCTGTATTTGGGGAGTGTCTCCCATTCTTCTCTGCAGATCCTCTCAAGCTCTGTCAGGTTGGATGGGGAGCGTCGCTGCACAACTATTTTCAGGTCTCTCCAGAGATGTTCGATTGGGTTCAAGTCTGGGCTCTGGCTGGGCCACTCAAGGACATTCAGAGACTTGTTGGAAGACAGAAAAGGAAACCAAAGTAGTGATCAGAGACCTGGAGGGGGTTTGCAGTGAGATTAGTAGGGGAATAGCCTCTAGTGGGAGGGGACTTGGAAAGGGTGAAGTCAAAAGAGGCAAGGAGGGGAAAGAAAGAGTTGGAAATAAATGAATCAAAGGCAGACGTCGGGAGGTTGAAGTCGCCTAGTACGAAGAGCATTGAGCTATTGTTAGGAAATTATCTTATCAAGGTGTCAAGCTCATTGAGGAACTCTCTAAGGGCACCTGGTGGGCGAAAGATGACAATGTTAAGCTTGATTGGACAAGTGACAGTGACAGCATGGAATTCAAATGAGGAGAAGGACAGGTGAATGAGGGAGAAAATAGAAAATCTCCACTTAGGAGAAATGAGTAGCCCTGTGCCATCACCACGACGACCAGATGCTCTCGGACTATGAGAGAACACGTAGTCAGATGAAAACAACGCAGCTGGAGTAGCAGTGTTCTCTGGGGTGAGCCATGACTCCGTCAGGGCGAAAAAGTCTAGGGACTGAAGGGCAGCATAGGCTGAGATGAACTTGGCATTCTTAACTGCAGATCGGCAGTTCCAAACGCTGCTGGAGACCAGGAATTCCACATGGGTTGTGCGTGCAGAGTACACTAAATTAGAAGGGTTGCAGCCAAGGGGTGGGGCGCATCTGTAAAGCCTGTAGGGAGTAGGCTTTACAGAGTAAACCTCATAGTAGACACTGCAGAAAGTTTCATTACAATCAGCCTAATATTTTTTGCTTGGTGCTGGGAGTTTGAAAGAGTTTTACTTCCTCTGTCGTCTTCTCTGTCTCTTTCTTGTCCTATAGTAAACTCTGTGAGGGAATGTAAGAGCTTCCTGTAGCCTTGAAGCTCTGCTCAGCTCTGCTCTTAGCCGCATTTGGTTTCACATAGGAAATTCTGTCTCTCCACTTTGTCATGCAACCCTGATAGATGTAGTGCTGCCTTAGGGGTCTGGCCAAAAGTAGTATATAAGTAGCACTTTATAAGAAATAAGATTCCATTTGGAACACAGACAATGAGAAGCCGGAAATATGAAACGTTTAGATTCTGTGCTATTTCGGACGTAGCCAAGGTCAAGCCTACAGT